GACTTTTAATATCTGACTTTTAAAAACATGTATTATTCCATCAAAACAATATAAGACACTGTGCCTCCATAATAACAATTCATGCAAAAATAACAACTATTTCCTATTCCTTACGTCTACTTTTGTTCTTGGCAATGTATAAGCCCAACAGGAGTTTTAGTCACTTCTAGGTGTGACCTCAAAGTAGTGTGTTTATTTGGGCATAAGCATTTTGTTTTTCATTGCAAAGGCACTGTATAAGAAGTTTAGAAAGCAGGCCTCCCTGGTAGCACAAGAGGCTAAGTGCAGCACTACGAAGCTGTCGACAGCCCCTGCAGCATGAGTTTAACCCCAGCCACGGAGCTGACCCACAAGGTGCAGCAGACCTCTCCTGTTTCCTCCCACTGCTCCCTTCAGCAGTGTATTTTAGTAGATCTGCCTATTCTGTTGCCCACTCTCTCTGGTGAGTCCTTTCACCCCTGCTTGGCCTGTAGCCAGTTCTTCTATGCATAAGTAAACAAATCTTAAAAAAAAATTTAGAAAGCACTGAAAGCAATGAAAAAAATGATATGAATGCAAAAGCCATCCCATAAGCCCTCCCCAAAAGTGAAGAGCAAAAATAGTATTTGTTTATGAAAATCACTTTAGATTGAGAATCTCACTGCAAAGAGAAGCTTCATCTTTCAGCTGACAAAAAAAGTTGTTTTAGATCACCAATTAAAAGAAACAAAAATTCTTTAATTCTTAGACCCTTGAGAAATAGCCAGTCTCTTTCAATCTGAGATACACTGATTAAACAGTGCTACAAAAGGTTCTAAAGCCACAATTTTTCCTGTCTTTGTCTTAATTTAGCATCATCTTAGTTCATAAAGCGACATCAACTAGCTGGAACACCAAATCAAAACAAAAAGATAGCATAAAATCCATACATTACATTACAGATTTTGGGCTCTTATTCTTGGTAGTGAGAGGTCTTAGGGATTTGAGCTCATCTGAAATCACAAAACTCAACAAAACATAAGAAGGGCGACGAGAGAAGCTGACAAGTTAGGATAAATTCAAGTGATGGCAGATGGCAAGAGAGACTGAAAAACAAAGCAGGATCTGAAAAAGCATAGCCATGTGCTGACCAGGAACCTTAAAATATATGAAAAGCACGTGCTTGTGAGCATCCACGCCTGAGAGCAGCAGGAGTTACATTGCAGCTGAGGCACCAACCAGTGTCACCAGTAAAAGACTAAGTTGTGGGTAATATTCTCTAAGAAGGCAGAAAACTATGCTTTGGAAAGCTGCCACCAAAATAACTAAAAAAGATCTTTTTTT